ATAGGGGGGGGAGGGCCTATGCTGGGAAGTGGGAGGAGGGTAGGGAGAGGTCACTTGCGGGGGGAGGGGGGAAGGAGACATATGTAATACTTTCAACATACAGAATTAAAAAAAAAAACCCTCTGGATTACCAACTGCTACCCTAAGCACAAGATAATATTAAAGGAATTTGAAAAGTAGTCACAGAAACAACAAAACTTAAGCTGCTCAACACTTGAGTAGATTGATTCATCATCCCTCAGTAAAGAGCCTAACAAAAGCGGAGGTGCGCTCATTTCCAGATCTAAATGCTATTTATCTCAGTCTCTGCTGTTCTGCATAAGATGCCCACCTTTAAAACAAAAATTATGTGATGTGGAAGAAAGAATGAAAAAAAGCAACACATGGTCAAGAGACAATGCAATCAACATGATCAGGTTTGGATATGACACAGACATTGGAACTATCAGACAGGGAATTTTAAAAAACTATAATTATGTTGAAGGCTCATTGGAAAAGATGGGACAACATGTATGAACAGAAAAGAAATTTCATGAGAGGTGAAAATTTTAAGAAAGAAGCAAATGAAAATACTAGAAATGAAGATGCATCCTCTTAATTATATTAATTAGTAGACTCAATACAACTGAGAAATTGTTGAAGCTTCAATTGAATTTACCCAAAATTAATCAGGCTATGTGCCAGTAATCTTTAAATAATAACATAGGCATATTCAACTACTTTTTCCCTCAATATGCTGGGAAAATTTTTATAAAAAGTATATAATAATATGAATAAGCTTAATACTATGCCTGGCAAAAAGTAGGCACTCATAATGTTTACTGAAGGAATTACTGCTATTTGTCAATGAAAAAATTTAGTCATTAATGAGAAAAGAGAGATAAAATGGGAAATCACTTACTATAATCTATGCTAAATTGAGCAACTCCAGAACCAGGATAGTAGGAACCTTTCTCCACAGTGATAAAACAATGCTTATTTTGTCTTTCTTGAATAATTTCATCTACTCTTGCAGTTCCTTGATTCATCAAATTCCAGCCTCGCATACATCCATCTAGACGAGGATTAATCTAACAAAATAGAATATACGTCAAGGAGTGCATTTTTAACTTGTCAGACTGATAGTGGCTTAACTGATTATAGAAACAGGTTTTCACTTAGAGGGAAAGTTTCTATTTTTTTCTAATTGCATTTACCACACAGGTTTGTCTTGCCATCAGACTCAAGCATTGGCAAGACAGACCTGTGTGGTAAATGCAATTAGAAGACCTCATGTGTTTCCATTCTTTAACCTCACCATGGCAACCAGTCAGACTGAAGATATGTGGTGGCCATGTCATAAATAGTTGATTCTTTTTAATAATTTACTTTATTGTTAAAGTGTCTGGATTTATCAATTTCAAAGAACAGGTATATTCACTCTGACATGGGTTAACTAATTCAGGTTTTATATCATATTGCAGAAATCTTTTAACTTAAGGTAACTGTGAATTGCCATGAGTGAAAGATAGATATAAAATAGTAAATATTTAAGTTAAATCAGCAGGTGCAATTGGCAGATCCATGAATACAGATGAAATATTTAAAACTCTCTAAGGACAGTGATTAGTCTCCTTCATGAAACCTATTCCACAGTTATTAGATAAACATCATATTCAGAAAATCACCTACTGTATGTAACTTCAATTTATGACAAGCTGCAGTCATACTCCTAGTAAAGATTTCTTAAATAAAAAAGTTCCACCTTATATGCCATTCTTATCTCCCAAATTTAAGTTCTAAAGTAGACCTAAGAAAGCTCTTTAACTGACTTTATAAAATAATGTATTTGGGGATTCAAATATATGTAGTTTTATGTTTAATGGCTATGTACAATTATGATGTTAGCCGTGAATTAAAGCTTAAGAATTTAAAATTTTCTATTTCACTGCAAGCAAGAATAGAAAAAGTTGGTTCTCTTCCCAAAGTGGGAGACAAGCTTATCAATTACGTGAAGCATTGCTTCCAATGACTGACCACTTTCCCTATCATGGCTAATAAACATTTTCCAAGTTCTGGTGCCAAAATAAAAATAAAAAATAATAAAATTACCTTGCCAAAACCGGCTCAAAAACACTACACTCATTTTTCTGTTTTCTTAATATAACTTCAAGGGCCACTAATGTTATTTTTCCATGTTCAATTCAAGTTGTCACAGTTGGTATGTTCGATAAAATAACTTCTTTTGACTTTGGCAATATCTTTTCAAATCTATTACAAACAAAAGGAATTCATCCCTGATGAACAAATGTAAAAAGCTTGGATCCTTACCGGCTTAATGAGTGTATTCCTCTGTGTCCGAGGTAAGCCTGCAAAGTATACTTTGGTTTCTACAAATCCACTTGTAGACTTAAAAAGGCTCTCCGGTTTATTTATATTCATTATGGCTTCTCTAGCTATTTTCACACTAATACTCTGTTCTAATTCTTCCACAGAGACCTACAATTAAAAAGACAGAGATTATCAAACAACCAAACATCCTTGAATGTCATATTAAATACTAATTTTGAATAATCCTGTTAATATTTCAGTAAATCGTTTTCCAAAGTAATCATTTTAATGTAATTATTAATTTGCCCCAATACATTTGAAATGTCAACTGATTATAGAGGTGATAAAAATGTGTTTTAAATGAATAGTACATGATTAAAAATTAAATGACTGTATTTTAAAGTTTAAAAAAAAATCAATGTTATTCTGTTAAATTTAAACATCCAATTAAAATATGTATCCTTCAAGCCAGTATGTCATAAAATGGATAGTTTTTAAAAAGTGAGTCACTCTACAAAATCTTAGAAAATGTTTGTGTTCTTACTTGACAATTGTATTATAGTACACATAAAGAATCAATAATGTAAATAAATTCCTCATATAAATTAAGAGAAATCAGTACATCCATCATTCTGGTTATTACACAACAAATAATATTTTGTTTCAAAATTCCAAAGTAATTGAGATCACTAGGAAGCACAACACATGAAATTTTAACTTTTTTTCCAATTTTGAAAGTAGTGTGGGTTCTAAAATAAAGGTTGGTAGTAATGGTAAACAACAATTAAGAAATCCTATAAAGGCAATCCAAAGAACCATTGTTGCAATCTCATGTAAAACTGTATCATTCAACATGCAAATTTTTCATTTACTAATTATTAATGGAGGCCAAACAAAAGCATATTTAGGCAGTGTATCCTCTCTCCCTTAATATAGCTAATCAAAAAAATAGGTCTAAAAGACAGAGAAGCATCGATCGATGCTCAAATCTCAGAGGGAAGGCAGGAGAGGGTGAGGCTAAGGGGGAGAGACCAACCAAAGGACTTGTATGCATGCATATAAGCATAACCAATGGATACAGACACGGGGAGGGGGGGGAGGGCATGAGTGGGGGGATGGGGGAACAATGGGGGGATAAGGACACATTTGTAGTACCTTAATCAATAAAGGAAAATATATATATATAGCTAATCATGTCACTTTGCCCTAATGACTATTCCCTCTTTGAAAGACATTTCTTTAAAAAAAAAAAAGAAAGAAAGGGGGTGGGGGGGTGAGAAGAAGATGTTCCTAATAACCTTGGTTCTTCTGCCTTCTTATGATTTCCTCTCAGTCTCCTTGCTAGATCCTCCTCTTCTTCTCAATCTCTATAAGCCCCAGAGCTCAGCTTCCTGACCTTTTTCCTTTAGCCGCCCAAGTATTTCTAAATGGGAACTCTATGCTCCACTCTAGGGCATTTGGAAAATGTGGGGTGGAGGGGGTACTTTTAGTTGTCACAAGGAGTAGGAAGTATGCTGACATTGTAATATGAAGGATAATTGTGCAAAATAAATAATAAAAAATCCAATATCCTGCAAACCTTCTAAATAACCATACTGGATATTCTTGTAGGGCAGCAGTTCCCAACCTGTGGGTCGCGACCCCTTTGAGGGTCGAACGACCCTTTCACAGGGGTCGCCTAAGACCATCGGAAAACACATATATAATTACATATTATTCATTATTCTATGTATAGGAGCAATTAATTTATTAATAACCCATCAAAATAATTTAAGGATTAAATTACTATTACTGATGGCAACCCCATTTATGCAGTTATGGTATTTGAGCTGCCAGTACAATACTCAGCATAAGTCTTCATTTATAGCTTCCACATTATTCATTATTCTATGTATAGGAGCAAGATTTGACAAGTATTATACTTGTATTGAACATTTACAAATTGAAATATATATTCTTATAAATTGCTTTCCTTCATGTATATAATAATTGAAGCATTCTATTGGTTTCTATTAGGGATATGTGAAGGTGGTTTTCATTATTGATGCATTTCATTATAGGACAGTAAAAGAACATTATAAATATTTGGGCAATTGATGAGAGAGTTTAGAACCGCCAGTTGATATACTCAATTTCATGGCCTTTAACCCTCTCTTTATGCTAAATATTTGAAAGTTTATATGTACCTTGAAGGCTTGACCTTAAAAATATACCCAGAATCAGATCACTTCTCACCACTCACATGATCAATACTCCAGCCAAAACTACTATCTTCTCTCTTCTAGGTTATTGCAATGGTCTCCTGGCTCCATGTCCTATTCTACCCTTATTTTCTACTATCTAATTTCCACAAAGCCATGAGGACCTAATCAAGATTATCTTTAAAAATGCAAATTAGATTATGTCATGTCTCAAAATCATCCAATATCTTTCTACTTAGCATAAAATCCAAGTCCTCGTGCTCACTTCGGCAGCGCATAGACTAAAATTGGAACGATACAGAGATTAGCATGGCCCCTGCGCAAAGGATGACACGCAAATTCGTGAAGCGTTCCATATAAAAAAAAAAATCCAAGTACTCACTATGTTCTCCAACCCTACATGATGTTATTCCAGATCATATTTCTAACCTCATTTTCTACATGCTCTCTTTCTGTCTCACTCCACTGCATCTACACTGACCTTTGTGTTATTCCTCAAACACATCCTCTTGCCTAAGACTCTGTACTTGCTGTTCATATGGCACAGAATCATCTTTCCCCATATATTTCTCATGACTTTTGCCTCAAATATTTGGTCAAATGTAATCTAATCAGAGATAGCTTTCCTGATTCCATTTGCACATTCACCATCATCATTCTCTATTGCCTGGCCTTCTCTTTTTCCTCATAGCATTCATTATATCTGACATATCTATTTATTTGTGTATTTGTGGTTTTCATCTCACCACTACTAGAATTAAAGTTCCATAAGAGCAGTGACTTTATTTTATTCACTGTTGTATCCTCACCACCTAGACAGAATATCACATAAAGTGCAATAAATATTTTGCTAAATGAAATTATTATATAAATTATAGATTTCCAACCAATATTAGGATTAAACCCAAATATGCGATATAATAATCATTCTAAACAATCAATATTTATTTATTTGCATTATAGTCATTCTAAGTACTTAATAATTATACATTCTATTCACTTTAGCTGAATTATAAAATAATTGTCATGCATTTCAATTTTGATTTATTTTTAAAGCATTTTATTTTAAATTTTTAAATAATTTAAAATTAGTGAAACAGTTGTTTTATAGTAAATACTCTACTAACTTAAAATATTTATTTCGAATAATTTCTGTGCTGAATAAATTTGTTCAGCAAAATAGTATAATTTATTAATAAACCATCAAAATTATAAGCTGGTAAAATAGCACGTGGTAATTTTTTAAAAACAAACGATACAGAGTGAGAAAAAAATCCTACTTATATGGTGGGGAGGAATTCATAAATTGTTAAAATATTGAATCAAGAATTTAAGAAAAACTACCAATACCAAATTTATTACCAGATTAAAGTTTTTCTCTGACTTGTTTATAGTTCTTACATTTTATTTTTATATAAAATTGCATTGTTTATAAAGGAATAATTTAATTAAAATGCTTTAATTGAAACATGGATATACATTAAATACTTTCTTTTAAACAAGGATCTTAAACATAAGGGACAAAATGCATTAAACTGAATTGCTGCCTTACATCCAACCATTAATCTTGCCTTCAACAGTATGATTCATTGACAATTTTTTGTTTGTTTTTAAATATTTCCCTTCTGTTTTCTTGATTCTTGTATTAAATTTATGGGGTGACGTTGGTTAATAGGATCATATAGTTTTCAGGTGTAGATTTCTATGATATAAGATCTGTGTGGCCACCACCAAAGTCAAATCTTCTGTCACCATATATTAGGTCCCCTTTTATAAATAAAATTTTAAAAAATAAATATAATCTACAACTCATGTTGTTAATCTCACAGGTAAATATTTACCTTCTTCTTTATACATAATATATTCTACTTAGACATTTATCAAAATTCTCCTCCAAACAGCTATTTTCTATTTGTATAAACTCATTGGGGGAAAATGTTTGTCCTCTTGCTGAAAGTGATTTTAGTGATTTGAGATATGTGTTTGGGACATAGGCAGTAAAATATATCCTTTAGCTAGATTCATAAACTGTTCTTGATACAGGGGTAATAGGAGAGACATAGTAGCAAAGCATCTAATGAGAGCATACAAAGTCAGAAAACTTCAGTGATTTTTCTGACAGTTGCATCTAAACCTGTGCAGACAGTATTCTTTTAGAGTTAGGAGCCCAAAATCTATGGCTATCAAAGGACAGAAAGCCCTTCTTTGGTGAACCACATTTGTGCTCAACTGACTTTATCACCCCTTCTACTGTAGCACATTTCACATTACATTGCATTAGTCCATAAACCCACACAGATATGGACAACTAATTCATAAGGCAACATCAACTACTAAATTGTGAGGTGCTAAGTTCAAGAGTAAGAAAGACCAGTTCTTAGGAACTTAGCACTTTGAAAGTGCTCACTTTAAGTTTATTGAATATATGAGTGCATGAGTGGGTAAATAACGGAATGAAATGATTTAGTGATGACTTCACATGGCATCGCCACATGGACCTCTCATCAGCTCCCACAGGCATAGAAAGTTCCTCTCTGGGGTACCACATTCTAAGGTGAAGCTGATCTTAGCAATCCTCTCCTGGAAGTAATGATTGGTTCTATTGCAGAAAAGAATTCTCCTCACTATAGACTTGCAGTAATCCCTTCTCAAAGAAAATCTCCACTATGATCCAGTTGATTAAAATGTTGTTATTGATTATTAAAATGAAGGCTCATGATTAGGGACTATCTAAAAATGCTAGTTTCTAGGCACTCTGATTGCTACCAGCTAATGTAAACTGTACAAACTGATTATCTATATGCTAATATTTAAAGCTGAAGTAACTTTGATTTTGTTCCTAAGTGTAATTCTTTACATTTAAAAAAAAAATTGTTGGCTATCCCGTACACCTGTCCATGATCAGTGGTGTCTTTACATAAAGTAGTTTGCCAGCTAACAATCTCTGAACTATTCACCCAGTGACAGACACTAAAAGGGGTAAGAAGCTAAAGACAGACAAGGTCAGGCAAATAACTGGAAACAACTTCAGTTATGAGAAATCTTAAATATATTAAGTGAGGTTATCCTTCCTCAGACTGTTTCATGGATTTGTAGTACATAGAATATACTTCATATAACATCAGATTAAAACCAAATCCACTTAGGTTTGGTACCACTAAACCTAATAAAAATAAATTATTAATGATTTTATACAAACTGTGTCAAAGTGGACAGATTCTTTATGAAATCTGAACAACGTACCATATGCCATAGACCATTATTAATAACTTTGCCTCCAGTTGTGATTTGGGTTGTATGTTCATTCTTAAACTGAATTTCCAGCTTTCCGTCACGAAGTGCAATCAGGAGCCAAGCTGAGTGGTCAAGAGCTTCTGTAAACAGGATAACACCTTCGGAATCATATGTCCGGAAATCAAATATGGCTGAAAATCTAAATAACGGACAAAGAGAGAGCCTTAATAGTGAGAACATGGAAGGCTCAATGTATTATTCTTTTTTTTCTTGTACTGGCAAAAAGCAGTATGTTGAGTCAACTATTTCCATCCCTGGAATTAATAAAAGAAAAGGGCAGAATTAGATTGTTGGTGTATTATCTCTGGCTCCATGTGTGTTTAAAATCAAGTTATTAAATTTTCTTGCTTATTATTGGAGTCTTTTTTTTTTCCCCAGAGAACAGATACTTTAGTAATTTTTCATCTTTTTTTGGCATTTGCTTTGGAGGCACTCTTTCAAATGTTGGAATTAAGGCACATGTACAAATATTAGACATATTGAATCTCTTCTGGAACCTTTTATACACTATATAATCTGATTAAGATTCTTTTATTGCTGTATCTGTAAGTGGTTAGTGAAAGATATTACAATTTCATGATTGGTTTATCCATCAAACAGCATATTCTCCCTATGATTTCATATGTGTCAGGAAGGAATCACTCAGCATCTGAATGATTGCAAACACAGTTAAGCTTTCATGTGTGGTAGAAAAGGTAAAGTCAAAAGCTTTAAAATTTATCTATTAGCTTGATTTCAAAGGGTCTCCCAAACTCTAATAGCATAAATCACTATACTAGATTACATGGTAAAAAAAGTTTAAAAGATATAGTCTAATATTAGCAAACCAAATACAACAATACATTGAAAGGATCATATAGCATGATCAGGTAGAATTTATTCCAGGGATGTAAGGATGATCCAACATCCACAAAACAATCAATGTGATATACCACATTAACAAAATGAAGAATAAAAATCATATATTATCCCCATAGAAACAGAAAAAATATTTGATAATATTCAACATCCATTTATGGTAAAAACTCTCAACAATGTGGGTATAGAGAAAAACATAGCTCAACATAATAAAGGCCATATGACATACCAACAGCTAACAACAATACTCAATTGGGAAAGTGAAAGCAGAAACAAGACAAGGATGCCGACTCTTGCCACTTTTATTAGACTAGAGAAAGAAATAAAAGGTATCCAAGTCAAAAAGGAAGAAGTAAAACTCACTATTTGGAAATGGCATATATATAGAAAACCCCAACGATTCCACCAAAAAACTGTTAGAACTAATAAAATGTTCAACAAAGCTGCAGGAAACAAAATTAATGTACAGAAATTTGTAGTGTTTCTATATGCTAATAACAAACTATCAGAAAGAGAAATTAAGAAAGCAATTCCATTTACAATGTTATCAAAAAGAATAAAATACGTGTACCTAGGAATTAATTTACCTAAGGAGGTGAAATACCTATACACTGAAAAGTATAAGGCGCTGATAAAAGAAACTGAAGAAGACACAAATAAATGGAAAAACATTTTGTGCTGATTGACTGGAAGAATTATTATTGTTAAAATATCCATACTACTCAAAGCAATCTACTGATTCAGTGCAATCCCTATTAAAATTCCAATGGCTCCGCCCTCCAGCGACAGGGCCCTCTCTCCCAAGGCAGAAGGGTCTGGCCCTCCACAATCCTCCTTCTCCTGACCACTCACTGTTCCCACCTCTGTCTCTAGGTGTCTCCCTGTGTCTGTCTCTGTCTAAACCCCCTCCAGTGTGCTCTCTCTATCTCTGTTCTCTCTCTCTCTCTCTCTCTCTCTCTCTCTCTCTCTCTCTCTCAATCTCTCTCTCTCTCTCTCTCTCTCTCTCTCTCTCTCTCTCTCTCTCTCTCGTTCTTCCTCTTTCTCCCCTCTCAGTTTCTCTCTCCCTTCTCTGTTTTTCTGGCCTTTGGTCATTCTCCCTCTCCCCCTGGCTCCCTCCGCTTTCTCCCACTGGAACTCTCTGTCTCTCCCATCCCTCAGAACCTCCTCTTCTCCATCTCTGTCGGTCCTCTTTCTCTCCCTCTCTACCTTCCTGGTCCACAGCCCACCCTCTCCTATTCCACAGAGTCTCTCCCCTTTTAGCTCCTTTTGAAGGGCACTGTCCAGTTCCATACCTGGGTACCCCCACGGCCATCTGGGCAGGGGGAACCACTTATTCTGTCCCCATGAGCTGTCTCCTCAAATCCCAGCCACAAAAAAATTCCAATGGCTTTTTTAACTAAAGTAGAATAAATAATTTTAAAATTTGTATGGAACCACAGAACTTCCTCAATAGCTAAAGCAAGCTAGAGAAAGAACAGAGCTGGAGGTGTCACACTTCCTGATTTCAAACTATACAGCAAAGCTATAGTAATCAGAATGGTATGATATTGGCATAAATATAGAAAGATCAATGGAACAGAATTGAGAGTCCAGAAATAATCCCACACATTTATGGATAACTAATTCATGAAAAAGAAGTCAAAAACATACAATGGAGAAAGGACAGACTTTTCAATAAGCAGTACTGGGAAAATTGGATAGCCCCCTGCAAAACAATGAAACTAGACCACTATCTCACACCATACACAAAAATTAAATCAAAATGGATTAAAGACCTGAAGTCATAAGATACACAGAAGCAATATAGCAGGTAAGCTTCTTGACATGTGTCTTAGCAATGTTTTTGTGAATTGACTCCAAAGGAAAGGAAAACAGAAGTTCAAATAAACAAATGGGACCAGATCAAACTAAAAAACTTCTACAAAGCAAAGGAAACCATTATCAAGATGAAAATGCAACCTATTGAACTGGAGAAGATATTTGCAAACTATACATCCAAGTAGGGATTAATATGTAGAATATGCAAAGAATTCACAAAACTCAACAACCACAAAAATCAACCGACTTTAAAAAATGGGCAGAAAATCTGACTATGTATTTCCCAAAGACATACTGAGAGCCAACAGGCACATAAAAAGATGTTCAGCTTCACTAATTATTAGAAAAATGCAAATCAAAACCACAATGAGATATCACCTCATACCTGTTAGAATGCCTATTATCAAAAAGACAAGAAACAACAAGTGTTGGAGAAGATGTGGAGAAAAGAGAACCCTCATAGACTGTTGGTAGGAATGTAAATTAGCACACCACTATGGAAAACAGTATAAAGATATTTCAAAAATTTAAGAAGAGAGTCACCATATGATCCAGCAATTCCACTGCTGTGTATTTATTCAAAGAATACAAAACATTAATTTGAAAAGATAAATGCACCCCTATGTTCACTGAAGCATTATTTACAATAGCTAAGATATAAAAAACAAAACAACCTAAGTGTCTGATGGATGAATGGATAAAGAAAATGTGGTACACACACACAACGGACCACTACCCAGCCATAAAAAGAATTAAATCTTGCCATTTGAGACAAAACAAATGGAGTGAAGTAAGTTAGATGGAGAAAGACTAATACTGCAAAATTTCACTCATATGTGGAATATAAAACAAACAAACAAACAACAACTCAAACATATAAGTAAGGACAGGTTGGTGGTACCAGAGGAGAATTGGGTGGGGAGTGAGTGAGAAGTCTGCAGGGGTCAATTTTATGGTGAAAGACAATAACTAGATTTTTTGTGGTGATCACTTTGTAATATATACAAATATCAAATTACTAGAGGCCCGATGCACGAAATTTGTGTAAGAGTAGGCTTTCCTTCCCCTGGCTGCCGGCACCAGCTTCCCTCTGGCACCCAGGACCCAGGCTTCCCTCGCAGTCTTGGCTTCGTCCAGAAGGTCGTCTGGAAGGATGTCCAGTCTAATTAGCATATTACACTTGTATTATTATAGATAATGTTGTACACCTGAGACATATTATGTCATATATCAATTTTACCTTCAAAGAAACAGATAAAGTCTAGCCATGTGTTCTGGGGTATCAGAGTTCTGGCAATGCCTATTAAAGACTCTGGACATATATGTAGGTACCACAAGGGAGGAAAAATCTTAAGTATGCTATATTTTTAAATAACACGTATTGATTCAGTGCCCATAGGACATTTTCTAATGAGAATCAGCAATAAAGTTTCCAAGGGACCAGCAAATCAAAATGACTGAAAAAAGACAAAAGGGAATAGAAAAGTACTTGTATAATGATTAGTTAAAATAAAGATAATTTAACTTAAAAAGTTAGGATTTCAAATAATTGCTAAATAAAGTAAGGAATACACACCTTATCCCCACATATAGCAGTAATAACAACACAGGCACCATTTGCAATGGGGCACAGATCTACCTCAAATGGAACAAAGAAAAGGTGATAGGAAATATTCTAAAGATGTAAATGTGAAGTAAAGTATGTTGAATGGATAGCAATGTAGTAGAAATTCACTGAACCCAAATTATTTTATAAGAAAAAGAATTTTGCTTAGAATAAGTGCTTCCATTCTTTTTCACACTCATCACATCTTGCTGATGCAAAGCATGTGTTATCTTGCCAAAACCTTAATCTGTGTATGCTCAGAATTTTCCATAACTTGATCCTATTATGGAGATAATTTCCTTCTCTTTGTAAAATCATGCTAAACCAGTAATTCTGAGTCCTGTCCTGTATGTTTTCTTTCTGAAATACATCAATATGCTGATTCATCACATTGGGAACAATTCATTCTTTGTCAGAAGTATTATAGAGTAAAAAAATAGTGAATCTGTACTTTGGGGTAGAGTATCTGATTACAGGAAACAACAGAAGGGATTTGCAAAAAAAATAAAGTAATAAAGCGCTAACTTGTTCTTCGTGTTGGTTACATAGGTGAGGTTCATAAAATATTCATCAAGCTGCACATTTCAGACATGTCCATTTCTGTATATATTATATCTCAATAAAAAGCTAAACTAAGTAACTAATTAAATAAATAATACCAGGAAAAATAATTATTTGGCCAATTTGATCCACTGTTAGAGCCCAAGCTATTATGAATTGTCTCTGAGAAAGCAATACCCCTGAACATGCCTGAAAGTATGCAAACATTATTTTTTTCTCTGTCATTCTCATTATTTGCATAGCAAGGAATACTGTCTCCAGTCTATCTCATCAGACAATACTATTTGCTCTGAGATATTAAAGGGGAAAACCAGGTCATAGTGGAAAATGAGTGTTGAAGGGGCACAATTACATCAGGGAATCTTAGAATAAATTTCAATGATTCTTAATGCAAAGATTTCTATGAATTTATAGTTAATGAATAATCACTCATATATAATGAATTAAATTCTAGGTCACCATGCTTATTTAATTAAAATATTTTAAAATTTGGACTCTATAGCCAGTCTAAACATGTTTTCTTTACATTATTCCAACAAACCTCCAATTTCATTTTTTCAAAGAGTGTATGACTCTAAGACCCAGCACCAGCACCAGCCTGCCTTGCTTCACAGCTGGGCCTCACCTGGGCACTTCCAAACCTGATACAAATAGGAGGAATCTGAAGATCTCTGCTGACGATGCACCTTCCTGGAGACCCAAGAGACAATAAACCCAGTGGACAGCTTCAGACCATACCAGATTACAACTCTACACATCCACAAGCAACACACTCAAGGGGCAGACTCAATTTGCACCAAAGCCCCACAGAAGCAAGTCCTGCTCCATAGGGGTGTTTCCTACAGCAGCTCTTCTGCTGTAGTTGCAGCTGGTTCTCATAGCCAATTGGCCTGGAGGTCAATTTCTCCCAGTGATGCCAATAGCAATCAAGTCTCAACTACAACAAGACTGTGCACACAGCACACAAAGGGGTGCAACTAGAGGGCTTACCTCAGGTGACTGGGAAAGCTGAGCCACTGGCCCTATAGGACATCTACTACACAAAGCCACTCTACCAACTCCAAGAGAAATAGCAGTTCTACACAATACATACAAACAAACACAGGGAAATAGCCAAAATGCGGAGACAAAGAAACATGTCACAAATGGAAGAAAGCAAACTACTAGATACAGAGTTCAAAACCATGGTTATAAGGTTACTCAAGGATTTTCATGAGACCTTCAGGGGACTTAGTGAGACTTTCAAGGATCTTAGTGAGAAGCCAAAAACATGGAAAAGGACCATTCAGAAATGAAGCATATTCTAACTGAAATAAAGAATAATTGACAGGGATTCAATAGTAGAGTAGAGGATTCTGAGAATCAAATCAACGATTTGAAATATGAGAGAGCAAAAACACCCAATCAGAAGAGCAAAAAGAAAAAAGAATCCAAAAATATGAAGATAGTGTAAGGAGCCTCTGGGACAGCTTCAAGCGTACCAACATTCAAATTATGGGGGTGCTAGAATGAGAAGAGAGCAAGATATTAAAAACCTATTTGAAAAAATGATGACAAAACTTCCCCTACTTGGTAAAAGAAATAGACTTACAAGTCCAATAAGCACAGAGAACCCCAAATAAGAGGAACCCAAAGAGGCCCACATCAAGACACATCATAATTAAAATATCAAGGCCTAAAGACAGAGAGGCTTAAAAGTAGCAAGAAAAAAAAACAGTTACCTGCAAGGGAGTGCCCATAGAACTGTCAGCTGATTTCTCAACAGAAACTTTGCAGGCCAGAAGGGAGTGGCGAGAAACATTCAAAGTGATGAATAGCAGGGACCTACAAGCAAGATCACTCTACCCAGCAAAGCTATCATTTAGAATTGAAGTTGAGATAAAGAGCCTCACAGACAAGAAAAAGCTAAAGTTCATCACCACCAAAACAGTAATACATGAAATGTTGAAGGGTATTCTTTAAGAAGAAGAAGAGAAGAAAAAAATGAAAAATCCACACAGACACCAGGAGGGTGAGGGCATGAATGCGGGGGTTGGGGGGCAATGGGGGAGTAAGGACACATATGTAATACCTTAATCAATAAAGAAAAAAAAATCCTATATAATAAAAGAATAATATGTTAATTAGACCGGATGTCCTTCCGGACGACCTTCCAGACAAAGCTGGGGCTGCAAGGGAAGCCCAGGTCCTGGGTGCCTGCCAGCGGCCAGAGGGAAGCCTGGGTTCTGGGTGCCTGCTGGCGACCGGAGGGAAGCTTGGGTCCCAGGTGCCAGAGGGAAGCCCAGGTCCTGGCAGCTGGGGGAAGGAAGGCCTACTCTTGCACGAATTTCATGCATCAGGCCTCTAGTATAACAATAAAATGACAATAAAAACATACATATTGGCAATTGAATCTAAATATCAAAATAAACGAACAAGGAATCTAATGAACAAAATAAACTGGTGAATAAAATAAAATCAGAGTCATGGGAATGGAACAGACTGAAGATTCTCAGAGGGAAAAGGGTGGGGGATTGGGAAGATATTAAGCAAAGATCTTATCTGCATATATGCATTACCTATAGTCACTGGCAATAGGGTGGCAAAGGCCTGGGGTGGGGCAGGAACTGGGTGGAAGGGGACAATGGGGGGGAAAAAGAGGGACATCTGTAATACTCTCAACAATAAAGATTTTTTTTAAATTATTCTGTAGAAATATTTATATTGGGAAGAATGCCTATAGTGAACTGGTATTTGGAAAAAAGCAGATTACAAAACTACATGTACAGGATGACTTCAATGTTTGTCAAAGAATAAATACATATGTATAGGTATAAATAAGGAAGGAAGGAAGGAAGGAAGGAAGGAAGGAAGGAAGGAAGGAAGGAAGGAAGGAAGGAAGACTGAAGGATCACTAGGAAGGCCAGCCTAGAATGATCCAAATTGGTTCTAGCATGAAAATTACATGTGTGAAGGAGCAAATTAACTTTATGGTTCCCCAAGTCATCTGAATGATAATATACCTAAATCATCTGATTTATAATGCAATGTTATACATTTCAAACTTTTGTAGTCCCCTCCTTCTTCTGTTCTAACCTGCCTACTGCTAGAAATTATCATTGACAGTGGTACCTTACCTGATAAAATCCGGTAAGCGAAATTTTAGATATAAAACAACCCCTACGAACTGCTCTGCCAAGTAAAGGAGTTCATAATTTTTCTCAAGGTTCAAGGAAAGGCACACTGGAACAGCCTGGAGAAAAGAAAACAAACAAAACCTATAGTTAACTGCTTGTTTTTTGTCAGATTATGCATCCTTTCTCTGATTCCTAGTGTTCTTGTCAAATGTATCCTCCATGATACACTAAAATGAATTAAAGACACCCTGGTAATAATAAAGCAATAACCTTTACTTCCTTGTCAAGTCTAGCAGTGGAACCCCCAAAAATACGTGTTTTTTAAAATTTTGTTCAATGTGCATGGCTTTCTATTTTTGTCTTTAATATTTCCTTTATAAATCACAGTCCAAAAACACAAACTTTTTCCTCTAGTAACAAGTGATCCTTTATTTAACTGATACAGGTATCAGACCTTCCATGAATTATGTCTGAAAATAATTTTTATTTGGAGTCAGAAGTAGGTGGGAAAATTAATGTACCAATAAATAGGACCTCATTTATTCACTCATTCATTATTAAGCAAAAAATGTCTGTGCAAAAACTGTGCTATCTAGGTAGCAAAGGGAATACTGAAAAACCTGGATGGAATAAATAGAAATGAGATATCATCATAGTCTTCAAGGAAGCTACAAAACAGTGATTTAGAATCATCAAATCTGAAATTAAGTACTTTTTTTTCCTAAAAATAAAAATAAACATTAAAACGGAAAGTCTTATAAATGGCTATTTTGGAAGGAATTATGTACATAGCACTGTATTAAATCTAGGTCCAGAAATAACATTTAATTTCCTCTTAGAACTTTAATAAATCTATTGAGGCAGATGGTGATGTTTAACTACAACAAATACTTAAATCATAAGAGACTAAGTTACAAAATAGACATTCACACAGCATGGCATTTCAATTAAGTATTGTACTATTAAAGTCAGTACATAGGCAACTATCTTACCTTACCTTCCTTTATCAAGTAGGTAGAATAATATTGACTGTTACATTTTTGGGGTACTTAAGCTTTGTCTTGATGATAAAGAGGTATGTGTGTACATATGATTAAATCATTATTAAGGATTTTTGTCTCTTTACTGTTTGCCTCAGAATCATATAAATTTCACTTTTACTTGAAAAAAAGTAAAGGAGATACAATAATTGGACTAAGGATCATTAACACATGATCCTTATCAAAAAAAAATAGCTTCAGAGATTGATCTATTCATTTCAATAAAGGAAAAACTAGAACCTACCCCCAACATTCAATTTCTGAGTCAATTATGTGTTAAATCTGAGTAACTAAAAGCAAATTTAAGAGATACAGATTAACAAAATCAAACTCTCTGAATTTTGATATATGTAAGTCCCACTAAATCTTCTAGTCTGACAATGTTTCCACCCAAGACTTTATGACAACTCTTGAAAGTACAAGCATGCCTAAGGCTTGATCAAAGTTGTCAGAATGGTGAATAAAGAAAAGTGGACACTGAGAAATGTTCTCATTAAAGTTTCTATGGAAGATTCTTTTTCTCACAAAGACCAGTATAAACCTCAGCTTTCCTTAAGTTTCTTAAATAAGCATATATTTTGTATTTCGTAAATGTACATGCTGTACTCTCTGAACTGTGACCCTGCAGCTTTTATTTTTACCAGCCACTAATTATTCCCAATTGTTTACAACTTTACACATCCATAATTAGTAAATAGATTGTGACTCAGAGCCTAGATGGAACTACAGAAATTATTGTAGAACATCTGTATTTTCCTGACTTAGCTCTGTGGAAAAAAGTACCTGGATCTCTTATTTTAGAAAAGAGATGGTAAGTTTAGCATTGCAAAATGTTACCTCACAACTTTTCTGATCTTGGGCAAGTTTGAATCCTTTCTTCCCATCACAGTAACAAGAATAACCTCCAGGGTAATTGACACAAAGTTGAGCACACATGTTCTCAGAGCATTCATCCACATCTAGAGAAAAAGAGAACATAAATCTTAATATCTTCTAAATGCTCAACCCAACAGAAGAAGTATTCTGATTTTAGTTTGCGATATCAATGACAATAATGCAAGAAATTTCTGACATCAAATTACATTTAAACACTTGCATGAAAATTTAAATGAGTCACAAGTTTAATTTCTTTTTATTTACACACTGGAAACAACAAATTTAATATTTAAATTTTATTAATTAATACGTAACAAAAATATAACAAGTATACTAATTTCCTAGTTTTGAATTTGAAGGCAAAAAGACCAAGAGTCTCAAGTTGGTTGGCATTTCTGATTATACAATTCCATTGAGACTACCTTCCTATTCTTTGCTTTGAAGAAAAAGAGGGGAAAGTAGAGGGGAGGGGAGGGAAGGGGAGGATGGGAAGATAGGGATGAAAAGATCCCTTTTAATTGAAGGTCAATGTAATTGAGAACTAAATGATAATATCAAAAACATTTGACTCTTCATGATGCAATGATTAATAGAGGCAATAAATTAAAGGGCATATCTGTATTTCTTCTTATTTTTATTAAAAACTCACTGTGCTATATGACCTCCCGTATTGTGAAATCTTGTATATTGATCCCTGTCCCCACTTCATATTTTGAGGAAGTCATTCTTGAAAAGTTGTAACAATATGCTTTAGCTAAAGCCCACTACTAAGATCCAGAGCTACTAAGATCCTGACCTTTTCGATGAATGAACCAATGATATCTTTGAAAATTCCCAAATTCATAAATGCTATTATAGCACACAATGATTTAAAATAAAACCCCAATATTAGTGATCCCTCAATACCATTAAAATGTTATATGATTAAAGTAATAAAATATTATATGTCATATAAATCTGTTATTTTGTTTTTTAATTGTTGTTCATGGAATAAAACTACAATATAGATGATGAAGTGAGCTAATTACCATCTACAAATGGTTATGGTTTACTACAGTAATTTCTATCTGGAGTGGTGAGAGAGTAGAAATGACGTATGTGTGTCGGAACGAGCAGGTATTTTTGGTGCATGCACGAAGAGATAAGGCCTCAAAATCTCAAGAGAAGTATATGTAGCTGAAAAAACCCTATTCTAAAATTATTATTGATTAGGGATATTTGTAGAGAGAGAAAGTAGATTAGAGGTTCAGGAGTTGGGGGAGGGTTACAGAGTTCTCTTTGGGGTGGTGAAGTTGTTTTAAAACAGATATTGGCAATGGCTGCATATCTATGTAAAATGTAATGAATGCCACTGAACTGTACACTTAAAAAAGGTTAAATGACCACATTGTATCTCAAATATACTTTGTCAAAACTGCTATTCATTTCATTAGTTTTAGTCATGGTATTAAATTCATTTTGAAACTTCAAAAAATTTAAAGGAGGATGTGAGATAATTTGTATATATCCATGATAAAAAAATAAAAAAATAATAATCCACTATGACGTCCAAGCTACCTGAGGCACACATGGCAGCACTGCTGTGGCCAAATGAAGCAGCAAGTCCAAGGGCTCTTCCTAATCCACAGGCACTGACACTACTAATCAGTACTCTCTCATTTCTAGAACTTAGCTATCATTTGGTTATAATTAATTTTTTTCTTTCATATGCATTTACTTATAATAGAACTTTGTCATTTCTTATTTTATAATAAATAAAACTTACACACACAAAAATCATTGATAAACTTGGTATAGAACTGAAGGTTTCTAACCACCCTTGTTGTAAGTAACTCCCACGTGATTTTTAAACTTGTCTTTTTTTTCTTTTTGTATGTGTGTGTTATTCCTTCCAGCTTGAAACTCTTTTTATCTTTGAATATTATTTAAGTGATGTGAGAATATGTTTATTTTGCTTTTATCATACATTGGGAGGTCTCTAATCCATATTTAGCTTGGAGGGCCCACTGGAATACTAACACTAAACCTAAAGACCATGTGTCTTGCATATTTTTACTTTGGAAGGAAGCCAATGATTATTCAATTGAACAAACTAAGATGGATTTGACCATCTTAGAAAATCTGATTGTTGATGTCAAACAGAACCAATGCTTCTAATACCAAATCAGGGTTCAAACCCACCCTCTCCACCATCAACAATGACAGGACCACAACTCTACCTTCACAAGACTTTGATGTGGGATTGTATCTGTAACCTTCAGCACATTCACATTCAAAGTCTCCTGGGGTGTTCTTGCACACAGCTGTGCCACAAATGCCTGGCTTCACAGAGCATTCATCCACATCTATAAATGAAACCAATATATTAAAAGACATTTTTCCCATACCAAGCTAGCAAAAAACCCTTGATCTGTGTTTCCTGAATCTGGTTTAATATATGAAATAAGATAACAGAGTGGCCTGAGAATAACAAAATATTAAATCTATCATCATGTTTTAGTTCACTAAATATTATATCTTTATGCAAGCACAGAGAATTTGATTGATGTTTGCAATGTGTAGTTATGTAAATGAAAGACAGGGCTTTAGTTATTGTCTTATCTACAAAGCTACAGTATGAAAATAAATGGGATAAAGGATTTACCATAAACATTTCTTTTTAAAAAAAAAATATATATATATATATAATTGATTTTTAGAGAGAGAAGGAGAAGGAGATGAAGAGAGAAACATGAATGTGAGAGCGAAACATCGGCTGCTTCCTGCATGCCCCCTACTGGGGATTGAGCCTGCAACCCAGGCATGTGCCCTGACCAGGAATCAAACAAGCAACCTTTCATTGAATGGGATGGAACCCAACCAACTAAGCCATACCAGCCAGAGCCACCATATTATTCACATGTATTTTCTAAATACATGTTTCTGAAATATGGTCTTAAAAGTATATACAATCTGCATTATCACAAATATAAAAAACAAATATGAGATGGCTCATCAGTCTTACGTTTTTCCCTTGAAAAAATAATAGCTAAACTGCATACCATTATTGTTGCCTAAAATATTCAAGAGTGACTCAAATTTAAAGTGAAATTGAATAAGGTCTCAAAGTATTTATAAAGCTGCAGTTAATCCAATACAAATTTTAATGCTAAATTAATATTCCTGAAATTTCAGATGTGTTTATTACATTACATAGTAGAGTAGGAGACAAAGTATTGATTGCAATTAGCTACTAGATAAGAACCTGTAAAAACAAAGGAAAAAAAAGTGGTCCTAACCAGTTTGGCTCGGTGGACAGAGCGTCGGCCTGTGGACTGAAGGGTCCCAGGTTCGATTCCGGTCAAGGGCATGTACCTTGGTTGCAGGCATATCCCCAGTAGTGGGTGTGCGGGAGGCAGCTGATTGATGTTTCTCTCTCATCGATGTTTCTAACTCTCTATCCCTCTCCCTTCCTCTCAAAAAAATCAATAAAATATATCTTTTTTAAAAAGAAAAAAAAGTGATAGAAAAAATTCAATGGAGACATAATTATAAGTGAACTTTTCTCATTTGTACTCTCTGAAGGCAAGTTTAGAATGAAAAATATACTTTCTACTTTAAAAAGTTGGGAGTTGCCCTAGCTGGTTTGGCTCAGTGGATAAAGCATTGGCCTATGGACCGAAGGGTCCCAGGTTCAATTCCGATTAAGGGCACATGCCCAGGTTGTGGCTCGATCCCCAGTGGGGGGCATGCAGGAGGCAGATGATCAATGATTCTCTCTCACCATTGATGTTTCTATCTCTCTCTCCCTCTCCCTTTCTCTCTGAAATAAATAAAAATATGTATTTTTTAAAAGCTGGGAGTTTAACTTTTCCACAGACTAATAACCAACATTTCAGACATTATTCTATTTTAAAAGACATGCACACTGGTCAGCCTTGCTCAGTGGTTAGGTCATGGGCCTGTGCACCAGAGGGTCGCAGGTAGATTCCTGGTCAAGGGCATGTACCTGGGTTGCAGGTCTGGTCCCCACCCCTCTTTTCTCCCACCCACATTAGGGCACATGGCAGGCAACCAATGTTTCTCTCTACTCTCTCTCTCTCTCTCCTTCCCCCACCCCTTCCACTCTCTCTAAAAATCAGAAAAAAATATCCTCACTTCTAGGGTGAGGATAAAAAAATAATAATAATAAAATGACATGTACAAAATGACATGCACAAATATAATAGAATCAATCCCTGGGGTAAGGGAATTTCCCTGTATCTTGACTCCGTAAGTGTCAGTATCCTGGGTGTGATAATGTACTATAGTTTTGTAAAATGTTACAATTAGGGAAAACTGGGCAAAGGGTTCATGGGATCTCTTTTTATTATTTCTTACAACAGCATGTGAGTCTATATTACTTCAAAATAAAATATTTAATATTTTTAAAAGAAAGTAAAAACATATGCCTAAATTATTTGGTCTGAGAAAAATTGCAAGGAATTATTTAAATCATATGAGTTCAGGTTATAGCTTATTGATTTTATGACTCTACACTGACATCTAATGACTGATGAAAAGTTTTATTCTTGAATTTTTAGACATTTCCTGGCAACTTGATCCAAGCATATCCACATGTTGACAAAGGCCTTATTGTAATAGTTGTATACACATTCTTCTCAGAGTTCTGTACTCTATTAATTAGATGTCATGGATAAAAAGCTATGCAAATGAAGTACATAAGACCATATGTTCTGATCAATCGGGACCTTCTTATTTATGAGTACTTTTTGTGATAATTTACATGCACATGTATAACTTCAGTGTATAAGGATTGAATAACTTTTAATTAAAAATATGCCACAAATTCTTTAGAAGAACAGACTATTTAAGTTTTTTAATGTAGAGTATGAATGGGTACTATTTGTTTATGGCATGCATATGGTATCTTGCATTATGATGGTTTTCTATAACTGATGTTCTAATGATATTGGTATTCTAAATGTTTAAACCTCAAACAGACTTTCATATAGGCAAATAAGAAAGATATATGGTTACAAACTAGGTATATGTTTAGAAGAAATTGTTAGTTCATACACTTCACTTTAGTCATTGAACTGCACTTTAAATAATATTATAGTAAACTATACCCCACCAAACACTACAGTGCATTGAGGGGCAGACCTTTCCTTGACTATGAATTCAATTTGGTATATTTACCAAAGCAAATATGAATGGAGAAAACTTTACATTTTAATTTACTAATTTCTTTTTTACCTTGGAGGGAGGGAGGGAGGGAGGGAGGGAGGGAGGGAGGGAGGGAGGGAGGGAGGGAAGGAGGGGAAGAAAGAAAAACTTCTAGTTTCTTAAGGCAAAATTGAACTTCAGGCTGGAAATTTCCCTTTTTAGTCATCCACATACCTACCAATTACACTTGAAGATTTAGTTACAGCTGTTAAAGTAGTCTAATGGAAAAGACATGCAGAGATAAAAAAGTCAAAACTCGGGTAACAGAGAAGTATAAAGAAAAAAAGAAATATACTATAGCAAAATGACTGTTATAAAGCTAAATTGACAGGAATCATTAAAGTCTGAGATTTAAAAAAACAAAAAACAAAAAAACAAGACTAATGACAAATGTTGTGCTCTTAGATGTAGAATAAAGAAAGACAGTTCGTGCTTCATTTTCCCCAAATTTCCAACAGGAAATGAGGTGTAAGATGAAGGGTTTCTATTGGAAATTAAAGAGATATTTCTGACAAGGAATCAAAATACAATGAAAAAAGTTACTAAGCATTGTGTTGGATTTTTTCGTATAGTTGTTTATCTCATTGGAATAAAGGAAATAATATTATAGTGTCTGTCAAAGAAAGTATAAACAACAATTTTGCAAGCACTGTAGTATGCAAGGACTTGCACTGAAACTTCACTTTATCACCATATAACAAAATTATTTTTTCTTTTTTTTTAATCCTCATCTAAAGATATGTTTTATTTTGAGAGAGAGAGAGAGAGAGAGAGAGAGAGAGAGAGAGAGAAAGACAACAATGCAATAGAGAGAAACAAGGATCAGTTGCTTCCCGTACACACCCTGATAGGGGGTCGAACCCGAAATCTTTTGATGTACAGGACAATGCTCCAACCAACTGAACCACCTGACCAGGGCATAATGAAATTATTTTTAAAATGTGATCACGTGTGTGCACACATACATATGCAATAAAAAATATTCTATAAATATTAAATACAATAAGAAAACAATAAACATCCTATAAAAAATTAAAAGGTAGTCCCATAATATCGAAAGGCTTCAAAGCGCATAGTAATGTATATTTATTATAACAGCTTATAACCAGAGAGTTTTCCAAGAATTTCCTGGGGAAATTTCTCTAACTGAATTTTGCTCTCACATGGTAAATATCTTCTTATTCTACCTGCTTTCTCTTACCTTTGCAGTCCTTTTTATTTGAAAGTAGAACAAAACCACTTTTACAAGAACATTGGTAACTTCCAGGTGTATTATCACAAATCTGACTGCAACCTCCATTTATGTTTGAGGGATTTTTGCATTCATTTATATCTAAAAACCAGAACATAAATTATTATTAAAGTGATAGAGCCTTCAGAAAATTTCTCAGGGGGTCGATCCAGATAAGCCAAATGGGTATATCATACATACCAAATTCACACTTCTCTCCTTGCCAACCCGATTTACACTTGCAAGTGAATGTAGCCTGGCCATCTTTGCAGCTCAGGTATCCGTCTTCATTGCATGGAAGAGGGTTGCACTGGTCTGGAATGGCTAAAGGAAATAGACATCTAGTTAATTTTTACCACATGCCATAGTAAATAAAATGATATACCTTTTGATAAAAATCCTGTGCATGCAATTTACCATAACTAATATTTGGAAACAGCCTAAGTGCCCATCAGCAGATGAATGGATTAAAAAATTGTGGTTCATTTACACAATGGAATACTATGCTGTGATAAAAAAGAAGGAATTCTTACCATTTGCAACAGCATGGATGGAACTGGAGAGCATTGTGCTAAGCAAAATAAGCCAGTCAGAGAAAGATAAATATCACATGATCTCACTCACTTGTGGAATATAATGAACAACATAAACTGATGAACAAAAACAGATCCAGACACCGAGAAGCATCGATCAGACCGTCAAACCTCAGAGGGAAGGCAGGGGAGGGTGGGGGTAAGGGGGAGAGATCAACCAAAGGACCTGTATGCATGCATATAAGCCTAACCAATGGATCCAAACACCAGGAGGGTGAGGGCATGAGCTGGGGGGGTGGGGGAACAATGGGAGGATAAGGACACATATGTAATACCTTAATCAATAAAGAAAAAATTTTAAAAAAGAAATCCTGTGCATGAAGCCTATAATAAACAAACAAAAAATTGTAAATCCTTCTTTCAAATAATACTTTTTCATAAAATATTGAGTCCATTAGACAATCTTTTTATTTTGCAAAAGGAAACTACTCTTATATTTGCAAATATATGCAGTATTTTATAACTGTAATTTAGATATTTTTTCATATATATTACCATACTTGACCATTAAAACAGTTCCATGAGATATACAGGACACATAAAACTACTCTCAATATTAATAGAAAAAAAATTGGGGACTTCCAATTTGGGCTAAAATGGAATAACAGAGACCAGATCTATCCCCCTGCCTTAGATAAATAGAACTCTGTCAAAATACATGAAATAATGGTTTTCAGACATTTAAAAAAAGGTAGCAGAGTACTGTGATCCTTAGGGGAAGGAATTTTCTTCGTAAAATGTCAGAGCACTTTATCACCATCTTAATGACATGCCCATTTGTTTCTTTAGTCATTTGTGGTTTCTCTCTCCTCACGGGACACTGCAGGGTCCCTAGGTTCCTACACATTTCCACGCCTGCTTCCCCAGCCTTCCTAGTCAACTCAGCGAGTTCCTTCCGTACTTCCCAAACAGCCCCCTCTGCTCAGGTTAGCTAGAGGAAAATTCTGTTTCTTGCAAAGAAAAACATTTTAAACCTAGCTGAAACTTAATTACCACATTTTTTTAAATGTCCTCATAAGTTCATCAAGTTGTTTTGTAAAACAGTAATAAATGAGGAATTAAAATAATAGAAAGACCAATCAGAAATTGTTATCAAACTACTTTCCTGTCCTTTGGTAAATTAAAAAACAGATAAAGTGTGCATTAAATATATGTATTCAAATAGTTTTATACTTATGTAACTATAACTAACTTTATATTAGAGAAAATGCAGATAAATATCTTGATATTGTCAATGCTGCATGTAAAATATTCGCTGGACAAACATTCCAATCTTGCATTTTCAACTTCTTGCAATTTCACCTTTTTCTCAATGACTCTCAGGAAACTGGTAAATCAGAGATAGATAAAGTACCAGGATTATCACTAGACTCTATGTGAACTTCAGAGGGAGAAGGCTAATTTGGGATCATAACATTTTTCACACTTATGTTATTGATGCCAATAGTTAGGAGAATAACTTGGCTCAATTTTGATCTATTAATCAACTATAACATTTGGTCATATTACATGATTATGCAACGACAGACAAAATAAAGCTGTTGGGAATAAAATTCTGAAATCCACGACCTAAAGCTTAGTAAACAAGGCAGACAGTTCAATAAACATTCGGTGAAAAATTCATTTTTAATAAAACAGTAGCATTTACATATGACAAGCATTCTTTCAAATGCATTTTGAGCCAACCTCCTTGTTGGGCATAACCTTCAAGGGTTCATTTGTTAATTTTTAAACATATTTACATGGGTGTACTTTTTGCAGGTTTTTGTTTGGTTTTGTTTTTAAATTGATTATAGAGGTATTTACCCTTGACACAGCTCCTTAGATCAGAGTAGGCATTAGTTGACTGACGTTCAGCAGTGAATAATCCAGCTCGGAAGGAGCCAAGACAGGCTGTAAATACAAACAAATGTAATATTTTTAGAGTGGGCATGCTCACATGATCTGAAATCATGGTAGAAATTATGCAAAGAGGCACAATATTTATATTCCTGTGGACTTACAGATTCAGCATTCAAAGCAAGATTGCAAAAATACAGATTCATGAAAAATCTATACATATAAAAGCCTAAGCAACCATTTGACCGTTTGATCAGTACCTGTGATGCGCAATGACCACCAGGGGGCAGACGCTCAATAAACAGGCGTGGAAACATGGAACAGACTGATAAATCTCAGAAGGAAGTGGGAAGGGGGGAGGGCGGGAAGAGATTAACCAAAGATCTTATATGCATACTAGAGGCCCCGGTGCAGTGGGGTCCCTCAGCCTGGCCTGTGGGGATCAGGCTGAAACCAGCAGTTCGACATCCCCTGAGGGGTCCCAGATTGTGAGAGGGCACAGGCCAGGCCGAGGGACACCACTGGTGCACGAATCCGTGCACCGGGCCTCTAGTAGATTTATGAAAGTTCTCTTTGGAAAAGAACCCTAAAGCCAGAAGTGAAAACGTTCTTGGATTTGCAAAGAGATTTATTGTCACACAAAAATCTCTATAGCAAAGGCCTATACAGTTATCCTCAAATCTGTAGATCAGAGCCTGATTTAGAAAGTGTCTGTAATTAAGTCAATAGAATTAGTTAGTGTTTCTGGTTGCTGTAAACAACTTCCAATTGTTCCAATGTTGGATAGAGACTAACATAATAGTATTTGCCTAATGCCTCAATAGTACAAAGCAAAGCAGGTTCACTGCATTCATTTTGTTCCTCACTATAACTCTGTGAAATTACATATGGCAATCTGGCAGAAATAACAGCTGAAAAAATAGAGATAAAATACTTACAGTCTTTAAAGTAACTAGGGGTCACTTTGTGCCAACAACACGTTCTTTAAAAGCCAACGAAAACAACAGTATATCACTTCACTGCGGATAGTCATCAACTTACTAAAAAGGTGGATTTGATTATCTTTTGCTGAGAAACAAACCCTAAAATTGGTAGCTTAAAATAATTATTCTACTTTAGTCATGAATTTGTGGGTCAAAAAAAAGTGTTGGGTTGTTTGTCTCTGCTGCACATCCTGGAGGATCCACCTCCAAGATAGCTTTTCATTCACAAGTCCGACCGCTCAGGCTCCTTGGCATCGCTCTCTCTCTCCATATGGCATATCATGCTGCAGGGCTGCCTCATGTGGTTGAGTTTCTCTTAGCATGCTGGTTCTAACATGGCACTTCTTTCAGGGTAGCTAGCTTTCAAGAGGAAAAAGTGGAAGTTGCCAGGCCAACTAGGAGGCATTTTGTCACTTCCACCATTCTATTGATCGAAGCAGTCCCAGGTTCCACACAGATTCAAGGGGGAGAGGTGGCAAGCATGGACTCCATGTAGTGAATGGGAAGTGGCAAGAGGGTATTGCAGAAGAGTATGTGTGATGGGAGATATTTCTGCAGCCATTTGTGGAAGGTACAATGTATAACAGATTGATTCAGAGGCTCCATTTGAAGTCAATATGTACATTAGTATCTTACTGCTGCTGTGACAAAGTACCATAACCTTAGTGCTGCAATCAACGTAAGTTTATTCTCTTACAGCTATAGGAACCAGAAGTCTAAAATTACAGTCTCAGCCGGGCTGCATCCCTTCTGGAGACTTCAAGGAAGAATTGATTTCCTTGCCTTTTTTCAGATTTTAGAAGCCACCTGCATTCCTTGGCTTGTACCAGTAGGCCTACCTTCATATCACTACCAACTTTTGCTTCATTGTTATATAACCTACTACCTACTCTGATCTCCTGCCTCCCTGTATAAGGACCCCGATGATTACACTTGGTCTAGACCCGTGGTCGGCAAACCGCGGCTCGAGAGCCACATGCGGCTCTTTGGCCCCTTGAGTGCGGCTCTTCCACAAAATACCACGTGCAGGTGCGCACATACAGTGTGATTGAAACTTCATGGCCCATGCGCAGAAGTCGGTATTTTATGGAAGAGCCGGTATTTTGTGGTAGAGCCACACTCAAGGGGCCAAAGAGCCGCATGTGGCTCGCGAGCCGCGGTTTGCCGAGCCGCAGTTTGCCAACCACTGGTCTAGACTATGAAAATTCCTACACACATCCTCTATTCACCTTTTTCCACATTAATATTATTAGGGACCAAATTATTTGATTCTCTTTTACCACCTGATATAGGCACCACTGAACTACTTGTCTGAATTGGTCAATTTTAAAAAATAGTTCAAACTGCCCTAAACAAAAGTTTTATTGGGATTGTAGTGGAACCAGAGTCTGGCAAATTTTTCTTTTCTTTGAGAAACTACGTTTGCATCTTTCTGTCTTTATACCACAGAAGATGCCATCACATAAAAATCTAAGTGTTTGTTTATTAAGTGGAAGACTGTTATTCATACTCCCCTCTTGATGATACATTACTATTATTTGTCTTTAAAAAGCCTGTTGCTTGCAGCTTTTTATCTCCATTTCCACTCCCAATCACTCCTTATGCAATCATTCTAATTAATTAACATGCATTTTTTATTTGTATGTGTTCTTACAAAATATAGATTTATAATTTTGTGTACATGAATTTTCATTTCTATAAATGGTTGTGTAATATGTATCATGTTTTCTGATATTTCTTCCTTAGCATTATATTTTCATGATCTATCCATGCTATTATATATAATTTATTGCTCCTAACTACTAAATATTACTCATGGAATGCAATCACCCTTTTAAAAATCCTCTCTATCTGCAATACTCAGATTGTTTCCAATTTCCCACCTCTATAAGCAGCACTGCAATGGGTATATCTTCATGCATGTCTCGTTAGCACATGAATAAGAAATTTCTATGGAATAGATTCCAAGGGTTTCTGGAATTGCAGGATCATTAGCTAGGCATGAATTTAGGGGCTCTCCAGAGGTGCACTCCCACCATCACAGCATAAGAATTTTCATATTCTGGCTTTCTAATTGTTGCCAGAATATATATCTATAATAATAAAAGTGTAATATGCTAATTAGACCGACATCCTTCCGAATGACCTTCCGGACGAAGCCTGGGCTGCAAGGGATGCCCGCACCCGGGTGCCAGAGGGAAGCTGGTGCCAGCAGCCGGGGGAAGGAAGGCCTACTCTCGCACAAATATTGTGCATCGGGTCTCTAATATATATATATATATATATATATATATATATATATATATATATATATATATATAGCTATATGCAAAGTGTCCCCTTGGGAGTTCAACTGGGAATTCGATCGCTCACTATGATGTGTGCTGACCACCAGGGGGCAGCACAGAACAAATGAAGGCCCTGGCCGGCAGCGGGGGAAGGGGCTCCAGCTGGCAGCCGGAAGGCCCTGATCAGCCCTGATCACTGGCCAGGCCTAGGGACCCTATCCATGCCTGAATTTTGTGCACCGGGCCTCTAGTGGGTAATAAAGTGACATCTCATTGTTTTTCTGATTTCCAGTGAGATGGAGCATATCTCTTTTTTTTTAAATTGGGCTTTCTTCCCTAGCTGGTTTGGCTCAATGGACAGAGCATTGTCTTGTGGACTGAAGGGTCCTCGTTTGATTCCAGTCAAGGGCACAGACCTCAGTTGCAGGCTCGATCTCCAGCCCTTGTCCAGCACATGTGGGAGGCAACCAATTGATGTGTCCCTCACCCTTCCACTTTCTCTCTAAAAATCAATGGAAAAATATCCTCAGGTGAGGATTAACACTAAATAAATAAGTAAATATTTAAAAAATAAATAAAAATTGGGGTTTCCTTCTCTGAATAGTTTATTATTTTGTAACCATTTTTCTTTTGGCACTTATCCATTGTTCATGTAGGTTTGCAAAACTTTAAACATTTATAATATCACCTCATTCTCTTACCTGTCTCTTAATCATATCCCTTTTGTCTTTTAAGAGAAGTCCTTAATTTTATTGTAATCAAATTTACCAATTATTTGCCTTATGGTTTGTGCATTTGAGGTTTTTTTGTTCCATGCCATTGATCATAAAAATATTTTCATATAGTTTTTGTTTCGTTTCAATTGTTTTACTTTATTTTAACATTAGTGTGTATTTTTATTTCACCTATGATCCATCTTTTCATTTGGTGATAGTTAGGAACCCAGATTTATTTTTCTGATTATAGTTAGCCAGTCTTTCCAACATGATCTTCTAAACAATTCAAGGTGACATATGGTATCATCTTTACCAAATATTAGGTTCCATATACAAATGGATGTTTCTAAACTCTTTAAGTTCATTAGTCTACATGTTCCTTTGACAATAGCAAGTGGTTTTGTTTCTATAGCATTGTATTATTAACTAGAGGCCTGGTGCACGAAATTCATGCATGGGGGGCGTCCCTCAGCCCGGCCTGCACCCTCTCCAATCAAGGACCCCTCAAAGGAAGTTCGACTGCCTGCAGGGATCGGGCCTAAACTGGCAGATGGACATCCCTCTAGCAATCTAGGACCACTGCCTCCTAAACTCTTGCCTGCCTGCCTGACCGCCCCTAACCCCTCTACCTGCCTGCCTGATCACCCCTAACTGCCTCTGCCTGCCTGCCAGTTTGATTGCCCCTAACTGCCCCCATGCCAACTTGATCGCCCCTACCTTGCCCCCCTGCTGGCCTGATCACCCCTACCTTGCCCCCCTGCCAGCCTGATCGCCCCAACCTTGGCCCCTTCTGGCCGGATTGCCCCTAACCACCTCTACCTCAGCCCGCAGCCTAAGCCTCCCTCTGCCAGAGGCAACCTGGCCGATCAGGGGAAGGTGCCGCCCCCATCACCCCACTGCTGCTGCATCACTCAATTCAAGAACATGAAATATTTTTCTATGATTTCAGTTCATCTTCTATGACCTTAAGTTGAGTTAAAATTTTTCCTCTAGCGGTTTTATATATTCCTAAGATATTTGTAGATATTCTATTGGATTTTCTGCTATTGTGAATGGTATCAACTTTTTATTTATTTTTTACTGGACTATCCTATATAATAAAGATGTAATATGCAAATGGTCATTACGTAATGACCAGATCACAGATCAGCAGGAGGGTGGGGCAGCGAACTACAAGCAGGTGGTGGAGAGCGAACTACAAGCAGGTGGTGGAGAGCTACACTGAGGGGGCAGGGCAGCAAGCTATGAGGGGAGAATGGGGGTGGGCAGGGGGAGCTACAGGAGGGCAGGGCAGCTGGCGGAGAGCTACAGGAGGGCGGCAGCAAGCTATTGGCTACAAGTGGGCACCAGAGAACTACAGGAGGGGACAGGGAAGCAAGCTATGAGGGGGGCACAGATTCATGTGCAGGGCTACTAGTTGTTTATATAAAGAACTACTACTGATTTTTATGGGGTAGACTCAGAACTATCTAATATTTCTTACATGTTCTAACATTTTGTCAGTGGATAATGTTTTTTCCTAGCAATATATCATCATATCAATTACAAATAATGATAGTCATAGATTTTGCCTCATGATCTATACTATTCTTACTTTTCTTTCCTTGAGTTATCTGTAACCTGAAGTGCTTCTATTTTTGCTATCAATCATAAAGAGACTATATCTAAAGTTTACCCATTAAGTATAATGTTTTGTTCTTATTTTTCCCTTCCTTTTCTTCCTTCTCTTATTCCATCCTTCCATCCTTCCATTGTTTCTTTCTCTCATGTTGTGTGTATATCATTAGCATTACCATACATGCCAATTTACCCAGGAGAGTCCTATTTATTCTTTTTTACTTGGCATTTATCTAGTGTAATATTAGACCTAAACAAAATATCAAAATTTGAAAGATAAATTACATGATTATTCTATATATAACCTTTACAAAGCTCAGAAAGTTCTCCTATACTAGTAATTGTAGTTTGCCAAAAGTTTTTTTATCATAATTAAGTGTTGAACTTTATCAACTACTTTTTCTGTATGAATTGAGGTACTAATAAACTATTTATGTGGAGAATTACATTAATGGATTTTCTGATGTTAAACCTCCTTGAATTTCTGGAATAAAATCTACTTTACCATGACATTATTTTTAATATAGTTTACATCAGATTGGATGTAATTTTACTTAGAATTAATTCATAAATGAAAAGGAATTATATTTTTATTTTCTGTGTTGTCCTTATCTGATTTTGGAATCAAGATCCACACCAATCTTTTAGAATAAACTCACAACATAGATCTTTTTCTATTTTTCTATTTTCTAGGACAATTTTAAATGTAGAAGAACTCACTCATATAACATCTGGGTTTGGATTTGGGGGAATACAAAGGAGAAAGCTTTAAGTGGGGAGGAGGTTAACTTATTTAGTTCTCATTTATAAAATCAAGTTCTCTATTTCTTCATGTAAAATTATAGATGTTTATATATTTCTAGGAATGTGTCCATTTTATCGTTTCTAAATATATTTTGGTATAGCTATTTGTAATATTTTATTTTATGATGATCTTTATTTTATTATAAATCTCATCTATATTGGGAGTTTCCAGTATTTCCCATTTTTATCCTCCACTTTGTTTTGGCATTCCCTCTTTCTTTTTCTTTGATTATTCTTACAAGAGGTCAGTCTAATTTATACTTTTCAAAGAAAGATATACTGTTTTTGTTAATCTCTCTTTTGTTTTCCATTTAACTTATTTCTATTCCTATTTTTATTATTTCCTTATTCCTTGTTACTCAGGGTTTACCTTCAAAAGTTTTTCTTGATTGGAATGCTTACATCATTTTTTTTAAGTATTCCGATCTGTCCTCCAACTGCTGCATCAGCAGTCAGCACCCCGATCCCCATGCTAGGTCAAACCAGTCTTTAGTCTACCCATGGGTTTCTCATATTTCTTGTTTTTGTTTTAAAGTTTTATGTTGTTACTATTAGTGCCTGGATGCTAATGTTTCCCTTGAGATGATTTTAAGGGAAGTCGGCAGTCTGGGCTAATTCACCAACTTGGTAAGAACTAGAAATTAAAAATAATTTCTAATGTTTATATTTAGGCTCAGAATTTAGCATTCTTCCCAAAAAGTTTCTCTCCCATTAATAGAATCTTCCACTCTATCAGGTCATATTTTAAAGGTCAATATATCTGGTAGAGTTATTTATTCTATTTTCTAAGGAAAAGAACACAACTTGAAAACCCAGAGCATTGCCCAGCTGCTGTGGCTCAGTGGTTGAGCATCAACCCAGGAACCAAGAGGCCATGTTCCATCCCGGGTCAGGGCACATGCTTGGGTTTGGGGCTCAATCCCCAGTAGGAGGTGTGCAGGAGGCAGCCGATCCATGATGTTTCTCTCTCATGGATATTTCTCTCTCTCTCTCCCTCTCCCCTCCTCTCTCTAAAAATTAATTTTAAAAAATCTAAAAAATAACCTGAGAAAAAAATAAATATAAAAACAAACAGAGCATTTCTGTCCAAATTCTATGTTTTCAATGCAGTAATGGGATATGTGGATAGATTGAAGTGCTTTCTGAACCCCTGAAACTCCAAATCTAAACACTGTCCAAAAAGTATGGGTTATGAGTGATCTGGTCTCTTGGGTGTTCTTACCTCACGGTAAGGAGCTCTATGCATGGACTGAGGTAATTAGTAAAATTACTGCTAGGATTACCATGGATAGGATTTTAAAGGTTTTTTATCAAGTAGAAAAATCTGGCCTACAAAATATATAAATCAAATGACAGAAAAGTTTTTCTTTTCTGTCTTCAACAGTGGAATTAATCACATATGCCTGTGTATAAATAAGGTCCAAAATATGAAATTTGAATTAAAAAAATAAACCATAATAAGAACATATTTTATTTCATATATGGGTTGGTTAAATGATAATACTTTACATTTAAAAAAATTAACACAATAAAGTGTATCTCCATAAATGTACTTATTTGGTATTCCCAATAGCTCTGAAGTTAAAAAATATAGTGTACATTTAAATACAGAAGATAAAAAGTTAAATAACTTGCATAACCTAACACAGTAGAAATGATTTAGGTCTTTAACTAGAGCCTACATCTTACTTACTTATTTTTTTATTTGATACTTAGCTTTTCCACCATGCTGCCAAATAAGACAGGTAAAGAGAAGAGAAAGTTGGGTTGAGCCAGCAAAGAGGAAGTTGAGAAAAATAAAAAGAAAATAAAGGAAAAATGTTTTACCTAAGGAACTCCTCCAAAACACATAATATTCTATTAAAATCTTATTTATCTTTATCAAAATATACTCTGTGATCAAATGTATATATTTTCTAGAGTTCAGACACCTACAGAAACAGTTTCAATACACGGACTTAAGAAATAGAGATTAACACTATGTTTTTTAATGCAAGCTTGTAACTCTTTAATATTCAAATATTGTCTGTTTTAATTATAACATAATCAAATTTCTACCTAAAATTGAGAAGCTGAAATAGTCTTATTATTCTATCTTTTCTCCCCTTTAACAGTGCAAACCTGTAGTTTTTGCTTTAGAAAGTGAGTCATGTATAGCCCTAGCTGGTTTGGCTCAGTGAATAGAGCTTCGGCCCACGGACTGAAGGGTACCGGGTTCGATTCTGGTCAAGGGCACATACCTCGGTTGCAGGCTCTATCACGTGTACAGGAGGCAACCAATTGATGTGACTCTCTCACAGTGATGTTTCTCTCTCTGTGTCTTTCTCTGCCCCTTCCAGTCTCTCTAAAAACCAAAGGAAAAATATCCTCGGGTGAGGATTACCAAAAAAAAAAAAAAAAGAAAGTGAGTCAGACATTGTGGACACTCATAAATGAAAAAGTAACTACTTCAGAACTATGAAAACGAGCACTTGGTCCTAAAAGGGTCTTCTACACAGTGGTCTTAGGCTCCTAATTGTTAATTGTCCTGAAGGGAAGATATAAGCACATACCATCATTTCAATATCAGGCTCCCGAGGAAAGGGGGGAAAGAAGAGATATACCCAATCTAAACATGGTCTCTGGAGTCTGTGCATGGGTATTCAAAAACAAACAAAAAGTGAAGCTCTAAACTATAATTAAACCCTCAAATTTCAAGAGAAAAAATAGAGTAATAGAAAGTTATTCGCAAAATTATATCAATAAATTTTAAGCTACATAGTAATTCATGTGTATCAGAGTACATTTCTACCTTTTTTTTTTTTTTTAAGGAAGATTCATTTTTCTTTTTCACAGGGCTCGAAGCTCACGTTGGCTGGGATGAGAGTGGGATGGAAAGAGGCACCAGTGGGGAGTAATCTGAGCCTAAATAAAATATCTGAGATAACCATGAAGGTTATCAAACCTTTGTGGGCTTGACCTACAGAGAATCCCATCAGAAAGAGGTGAGAAAATTATACTCAACTTTTATTGCTGAGAAGTGCTAACAACTATCCCAAGTAATATTAATATAAATGTTCTCATATTTCCTTAAAGCAAATCGAAACATAGTTATCTTTAACTGATATTTAGTTGAAATCATCTCATCTGTTTGAGTACGGAAATGACCTCACTCCTGGGAAGTCCAGAATTGTGTACCAAAGCAAAACATGGAGAGAGATACTGGAGGAGATGATAAAGTGATGTGGCCAAGAGAGAAGTTGTTAATCATTTCAATGATTATTTATGCCACAGCTCTGGGGAGTACAGAGATATTTTCTTTCATTAAAAGATAACCCAGGACCTAAATATAACTTAGTATTAGCCCAATGACTCTATGAGAAAGACAGGAAATTGAAAAAACTAAAAGTCAAAGTTCCACATGGTAATTAAAGACCAACTCTAAATTTTTCTACATAACTTTAATAAAAGAACAGCAACATTGCATATAGAATGGAATCTTCCTCCCAAGGCCAATGAAATTGTATTGGATGACATATACAAGTAGAGGACTAGATTTGATCATATCTAATTCCCTTCCATTTCTAGAATTATGTGAATAAAAGCCTTTGAACTTACCTAAATATTTTGGATAAAAATATTCCTAGAAAGAAAGAAAAATAAATAAGTTATCTTAGAAAGTTACATTTCACTATAGAGTTAAAATAATTTTAAAATGTGTTTTTACTTTAAAGATGCAAATATGTGGAGGGAGTGGGGAGGGGTGTAGGTGAATGTGGAGGAGGGTATAGGGGGAATAAATGGTGAAGGGGAAAAACTTTAAATATATATCTTTTTAAAGATGCAAATAAGTTACATACAATTGTCATCTCCACATTATATGATTTATGATTTTTTTCTATAGCAAAATATACTTGGAGTAGATAACTAATAACATTCAGCTAATCAGATGCTTAGTCTTAAGGCAATATTGATCTATTAAATTATGCTTCAAAAATTTCTAATCTGAAAACAGGTTCTACTGAAGCTATCAAATGTAATCATATATGTCCCCTTTTTGTAAATCCTTTATTTTTCCCATAGAGATCAGATAACCATTTGACACATTTCATGCCATGCCGATTGCACATACCAGATCCAATGTTGAATAACACTGACATCATCTGAAGTGAATTGAAGTGGACATTTATCTTTTAGCATCATGAGTACAAGTAATACCTTACTTATTAATTGGCTATGTACCAAAAGTTTGTCTGTAAATCAGTAATTTGGACTAAGAAATATACTTCACCAGAGAGAGAAAATTTTAAAAATGATTTCTAATGGTAAGGTTCTCAGGCTGGTTCACAAAAGCCTTCTTAAGTCATAATATATCTAATGTGTAACATTAGAAGCACAAGAACACCCCATGAGAAATCAGTGTTTCTACACAAAAACGTAATGAAGTGCAAACTATAACTTCATCCAACAGAGTCAGAAGTCTTCACTGTTTCTTTCTCTCACATATAAACCTACACAACACATCTACTAGTTTATAAGGATAGGATCTCCCATCAAGTATTTCAGACAGCAGTGTCTTCTACAGAACAGAAGCCAGGAGGATAAGCAACAATGAATGGGTTCAAAAGGAGATTATGTGATGGCTGAAAGGAACGTATTAGGGATAATGGAGTAGAGATTGGGAGTGTGAATTAGGGTATTAGGGACGTGGACAGTGAGTGGATGAGGCGGGATGGAAGTGAGAAGCAGTAACAAATGTTTTTTCTTTCCTTTTATTTCTCCCATTTCTTCTTTTGTCTGTCATATCTTTCTCTCTTGTCAATGAGACCTCCATCAGAATGAGTGGAGGAGAGAAAAAACATTCATGAGTTCCCTTCCCCACTATCTTCCCTTCACTCCATTATGGTCTTTGGCCTCACTCCCTATTTGCTACTCAGATGCTAACATAATCAAGTATTTATGTATGAGTGATGCAATGTGATATCTCAGCCATGCACACTTGCTTTAAAACATTCCAGCAAACAAAACAAAATTAGAGTGGGCATAGTAGAAAACGGGTAAAACAAGTATGGTAGATTACTGATCATTGTTGAAGTGAAGGGAAGGTATATTGGGGTTTATTATATTGTTCTCTGTATTTTGGTATATATTTTAAATTTCTATAATAAAAATAAAGGTGTATGTATCTATTTCCTAGAAAATAAGAATACTCTGTATATTGTGTGGAAGAAAATATTTTTCTCTTGCCAAGTGCTTAGCCACAAAAGCAACAGAATTAAGAGAAACATTTTACTTCAATCCCAGAGAGTATTAAAAATGAATCTTTAGGTACCTTGGAAAAAATCCCTTTTGAACCTATAAAGGTAGGTGGAGGTAAAAGAATTAAAGAGAACACAACTTATTACTGAACTTATTACTGACAAGTTCTCCAACTATAGAGATGATTCTTCCTCATTATCTCATGGTCCTAAGAGCCATGGGAGAGGTAAAGGAGAGCCTTTGTATATATGTTCTTCCTCATTTCCTTTTGGTTATATAGTTCATCTCAGAAAAGAAAATATCTGAGGTGACCATGAAGGTTATCACACTTGAATTCTTAGAGGCACTATTTATACTGCCACCTGCAGTATATTTTGGAGAATATCCTGGCCTGGGAAATAAGAGGACTAAAGATAAGGTCGTATTTCTGCATATTTAGGGATGTTTATGGTTAGATTTTTGTAAACTAACTTGGAAAAATTAATACACTAAGATGTAAATTCTAACCCTAGGAATGACTGATGATATAAAATGTCTCAGGAAAGTTCTCAAGGATTTATGGAATAAATCAAAATATACTCAGGAAATACAGTGTTGAGAGAATTCTTTTTTTTTTCTTTTTTTTAATATATTTTATTGATTTTTTACTGAGAGGGAGAGAGACAGAGAGATAGAAACATAAATGAGAGAGAAACATCGATCGGCTGCCTCCTACACACCCCCCACTGGAGATGTCCCCACAACCAAGGTACATGCTCTTGACTGGAATCGAACCTGGGACCCTTCAGTCCACAAGCCGACGCTCTATCCACCAAGCCAAACCGGCTAGGGCCTGAGTGAATTCTTCAGTAAGGTTTCACAGAGTACCTATTATGTACTCTGACCAGCTCTAGATTAAAGGCTGGTTAAAAATGCCTGGAGATATTTAATTAAGTATAGTGATAACAATGCAATCACATGTTGGTACCCACCCATGTCTGTACATGTGCGCACACAAACATGCACACACATTATATTTAAGATGTCTTCCCTCCCTACCCCATATTACCAAGTTATGGTTGGAAGAAAGTATTTACAAACCATGAGGTTGATACTATTTGCTGGTAGTATTTAATTTATAATTAAATTATAGATTGGTTAGAGCACATTGCTTTTGGCAATAGTGTCTTCCTGACTAGTCCACCTTCCTTTGAAGGTATTTCCTTCTGAAATACTTCAATGGTTACATGTGAAATGTGATATATACACAATCACTTAACATTAAAAAGGAACAGAGGAACACAGACTCAAGCTGGAACTGTTCTGTCTATAATTGTATGACTAGCTGTGCTAACGTTGTCATGAGCTCTTACCGTTTCAGGGTAATTTTCAAAGATCTCCCTGGCTTCTTCTTTATTGCACAGTTCTTCAATGCACTCTCTTTCAAGATTACCCGGTTTGACTTCTTCAAAGGCATGATTTGCTCGGCGTTTCCTAACCAGAACTTGTGAAGCATGTTGCTTTGACAAAACTGAAGGAAAAAAATAAGTTTATATAAAGAAATATTTCATTTCTCCACCTAAAATATATTATTTTTCAAACAATCCTATATAATAAAAGCCTAATATGCTAAGTGTCCGACCGTACGTTCAACCATTGGACCAGTCGCTATAACATGCACTGATCACCAGGGGGCAGATGCTCCAACCAGTAAGTTAACTTGCTGCTGGGGTCCAGCCAATCGGGACTGGGCGAGACGGGCCAGAAACGTCCTGGAGCCCTCCCGTGGTCTCTCCCCAGCCCCAATCGTGCACCAGTGGGGTCCCTTGTCCTGGCCTGTGCCCTCTCGCAATCCAGGACCCCTTTGGAGATGTTAAAGAGCCAGTTTTGGCCCAATCCCTATAGGCCAGGCCGAAGAACCCCACTGGTGCACAAATCCATGCAGCAGGCCTCTAGTGATAATTAGAATCATTTTCTGCCTTCGAATTGTATGACATTTAAAATCAGTATGGTTGAACTGAAAAAAAAGTGCAGATATATAGCACTTTGATAACAACTCAAAGAATAGGTTTGGTGTCCAACTATAGCATTAGTATAATGATCTACACAAATTTTTCATGCTCATGCTGGAGGTCATACATACCAGATGATACTTCTGTTTATGTTATAACTACATTGGAAATAGCATCATGCTGAAATGACTATGTAAAAAGTCATAGCTATCCCATCTTGAAAGCCACTTTCTTAATTTTAATGAAAAACTCACATGATCACTAAAGCAGAAGTATAGTCCAATCAGCTACTTAAAATATATTTAACAGGCTAACACAATTATTCATACAAACAGGAAGATAAAAATTCATGGTAAAAGCAAGCCCATACAGAAGACTCTAGAATCCACAGAGACTAATCCTAGCATGCCCCCAATGGCCTTCTTCATCCTCTAATGACAGGCATTTCAATCATATCAGAAATGCTCCCATTTCTTTGCTCCACTTGACACAGCTGTCCTCCCATTCTTTCACACTCACACCAATCGGGCTTTTCTGTGTGACTCTAACCATGCTGCTTTTATCAAGATCCTGATACGAACTCTAAAGGTTAATTATCAGTCCTCATCTTCCATGACCTACAAGTATTATTTGACAGCCTTGATTAGTGCTTCGTGGATACAATATTTAAACCTAACTTACAGGTCATAAGGCACTTTTCATTATTCTTGTATCTCATTGACCAGACCCAGACCCCTTTTACTGATCTGTAAATATTGGTTATTCGAGGTTTCATGGCTATATCCTAATGATACATTATATCTCTAGCTAGAGCCTCCCTCCTCACTTCAGATCATATGTCCAATTGGCTATTGGACATCTCTTGGATGACCAAAAATCTCAAATATGGCATCATAAAAGTGAACTTTTAATTTCCACACTCCATCTGACTGCCTCCACTTGACCTCTCAATTGATGGTAATTTCTAGAGCTCAGACAAAATATCTTGAAATAATCCTTCATTCCCCCTTCCCCTCTTCCCCTACCTCAAAACCCAATTCTACATCATCACAAAATCTTCTCAGCTTTCTCTTTAGGACTTATAAAACAGCCCTAGCCAGTTTGGCTCAATGGATGGAGCATCAGCCTGTGAACTGAAGGGTCCTAGTTTCGATTCTGGTCAAGGGCACATCTTGGTTGCAGGCTCCTCCCTGACCTGGGCCCTGGTTGGGGTGTGTGCAGGAGGCAACCAATGTGTTTCTCTCACAATGATACTTCTCTCTGTCTTCCCTCTCTTTTCCACTCTCTCTAAAAATCAATGGAAAAATATCCTCAGCTGAGGATTAAAAATAAGTAAATAAATAAATACTTATAAAACATATGATCACTTCTCACCACCTCAACAGTCATTACTGGTGTATGTTTTCATTTTAAAACTTCCATAATTAAATTAATAAAAAATGTTATTTAACCAACTATGAGTCAAGATTTTAAAAAATCAGGCAACACTATCTGTGACACTTGAATATGTGAAAAAGATTAGTTTTTACAAAGTTATTTAAAATGTTGGGAATTTCTTTAGTTGTCCTTTCCAGTTTGAGATATGATTGATATATAACACTGTATTAGTTTTAGGTGCATGTTTTTATATCATTATATAGAACATATATATATATATATATATCTACACTAATAAAAGAGAAACATGGTAATTAGCGTATGACCGCTACCCTTTTCATTGGCTAATCAGTGAGTATATGCAAATTAACTGACAACCAAGATGGCGGCCGGCAGCCATGCACTGAAGCGAACAGGGAGGCTTGCTTGCTCCAGTGATGGCGAACT